AGACGCAACAAAGACCAATGCCAAAGATGCAAAGGATTCAGAGAAAAGAGCTGCCACTCCAAAGGAGCAAACGGAGGTAGAAGAGGGGCAAGGTGAGGAGAAAAGCCACAGGCCAGCCAAAAAAATCCAAAGACCAGGTTTTTTGGATGAAGTGCTGCCCATCGCCCCAAAGGACCAAGCCAAGGGAAAGAAGAAATCTAAGAAGAGCAAGCAGGAAGAGGAGATCGAATTTCAGGAAGATGAAGAAGCAGAGCAGGTCGAAGAGGACGAAGAAGTAGATGTTGAGGAAGCTGCAGCCAAGCCAAGAGGCAGACCGAAAGGTAAGGCCAAAGCAAAGGCGAAGACAGCTGCCAAGGATAAGAAGGCTGGGAAGACTGCAAAGGAGAAGGCAACTACCAAGGGAAAGAAGGAGAGCAAGGGAAAGACAAAGGATGTGGAGACCACAGAGCCAAAGCGAAAATCGAAGTCAGGGAATGGAGGCGCAAAAAAGGCAAAGGTGACTGATGAGGATCCTACCCGTGCTTCCAAACGCAAGGGACGAGAGGGTTTGTCAGAGGCAGAGATTGCAAAGAAGAACAAGCAGAGCAGAAAGTCATCGGCTTACCACGTTGCCTTCAGGAAGGCGAAGATTGAAGGAATGAGCGCAGAAGATTGCAAGAAGGAAGCGAAGAAGGCTTGGGTGGGGAGTACAGGAAGAAGGGATTACCAGGTGGTGCATGCATGAAACAGTTTGGGTGTAAGAAAAGGGTTGCCTTATTTTACATATCATCCCCGACTTAATATATATATAGGCACATATGTATCTGAGCTCAATGGGTCATACCCCAACATACCCCAACTGTGTGGTTGTGTCATCCCTGTCGTCAGGCCTATGCATCTACGGAGTGAGCAAGCTTGGGGCTTGGAATCTTGGACAATGGGGATTGGCGTCATGAAATGACAATGCCATTTTAGAAATATATTGCCAAGGCCGAAATCGCTTTGGCCATTTGATGCCATTTGAGCTAGGGGCTGGGGAACCTTGCAACACTGCAGGGACACAACCACGGTGATGAACCACCACCTGATGAAATGCTTGGAAGAAAAACATGATTTCATTGCCCCAAAGTGATATATATATATATATATCATAATTTAAATAATAATATACTATGCCAAGAGCCCGCTATTGCCAGGTCAATGCATGGCGTGGTTCTCTCGAGGTATGCTGTCAGGTGCCCCCTGCCCGTTCTTTGCTGGGAAATGTGAATTGGAATCGGGCTGAAAGATTTGCATGATGTAGACATTCCAAATAAAAATGGTCTATGCAGTATACATGCATGCTTGCATTTTTTTTTTGCACAAACATCACAAAACTACCTATGTCTGTACGCAGCGCCTTTGTTTACCAAGCCACATTAAATTTGGGCTAGAGATATGGAGGTTGAGCCTAGCACCGCGTTCAATTTGATGGAGATGGGAGTGCCGAAAACACTTGTCGCTTTAGTCATTTGGTTGCAATATATATATATATGAACCATGTTATGTCAATAGGTTTTTTTACATGATGACCAACCAACTTCGATCCTATGAAACTCAGGTGTTACTCCTTGGGTGGTGCAACGACTTCCCAAAGGTTGACCCAGTTAACCTTTTTGAGATCTTTAGTGGGGCTGCCAACACTACCAAGTGGTGGTGGCTGGTCTGCACTTATAAATTCATCAGATCCTCAATGATATGGTTCTACTTATCAGATCCTCTTACCCACCATGACTTAGGCACAAATGTGGCTTCAAATGTGCCTCCTTCGATTTCACATACGGCCAAGCCAAGTCGCAGGGTAATCCGATGGATTTCAACCAGCCACCGGGGTTTCTGTACCTTGGCGAGTGTAGTGGTTCAGATCAATATATATATATATAGTGTATATATTTGATCTACCCCCGGGGCAGTAACAGTGAGCACAAGCCAGGGGCACAAAATGAGCACCAGCCAAATGCAGAAAATAAGGGTCTAATCTGGTGATATGATACAGATAAATTCTTATACCAAAACCAAAAAAAGGATCAGGTAGACACCATGAATATGTAAATCATCAAATGGTTGAAAAAATGTTTCATGTGAATCGGAAGGAATCAAACTGCACAGGTGTCTGTTTCTCTCTTCTCGGCTCTGGCTGCTACAGATTTGCTAGTAACTGGGCAACTTATCACCAACATTCCGTTGGAAACCTTAGCAATTCTTAGTAACTACAACAGCCTTAGCAATGTGACAACTAGCAACAATAACAACAACCGCCCCCCACCAGCGACAGCACCACCACGACCACCACAACCAGCAGTACCAGCAGCGGCAGCAGCAGCAGCACCACCACCACCACCACAACAACCACCACCACCAAACGTAAGGGTGGGGGGTTGGGGCTGGGCCTGGGGCTGGGCTTGGCTGGGGTGCTGGGGGCTGGGGTGGTTGGGTTGGGCCTGGGGGCGCTGGGGCTGCGACTGGGCCTGGCGCTGGGGCTGGGGCTGGGGCTGGCGCAGTTGACTTTTTTGGTTTTCCTGTTTTCGGTTTTTTGTGCTCGGCTGCCGCTCAAATTGTGCTCGGCTGGTGCTCAAATTGTGCTCGGCTGGTGCTCAAATTGTGCTCGGCTGGTGCTCAAATTGTGCTCGGCTGGTGCTCAAAATTGTGCTCCTCGGCTGGTGCTCAAATTGTGCTCGGCTGGTGCTCAAATTGTGCTCGGCTGGTGCTCAAATTGTGCTCGGCTGGTGCTCAAATTGTGCTCGGCTGGTGCTCAAATTGTGCTCGGCTGGTGCTCAAATTGTGCTCGGCTGGTGCTCAAATTGTGCTCGGCTGGTGCTCAAATTGTGCTCGGCTGGTGCTCAAATTGTGCTCGGCTGGTGCTCAAATTGTGCTCGGCTGGTGCTCAAATTGTGCCCGGCTGGTGCTCAAATTGTGCTCGGCTGGTGCTCAAATTGTGCTCGGCTGGTGCTCAAATTGTGCTCGGCTGGTGCTCAAATTGTGCTCGGCTGGTGCTCAAATTGTGCTCGGCTGGTGCTCAAATTGTGCTCGGCTGGTGCTCAAATTGTGCTCGGCTGGTGCTCAAATTGTGCCCGGCTGGTGCTCAAATTGTGCTCGGCTGGTGCTCAAATTGTGCTCGGCTGGTGCTCAAATTGTGCTCGGCTGGTGCTCAAATTGTGCTCGGCTGGTGCTCAAATTGTGCTCGGCTGGTGCTCAAATTGTGCTCGGCTGGTGCTCAAATTGTGCTCGGCTGGTGCTCAAATTGTGCTTTTCTTGTGGTCCCCCTGGTGCTCGTTTTGTCGTCCCTTTGGACCTTTCCTTGCCCGGGCTAATTTTTTTCATTTTTTTCGCAATTATTTTTGCAGTCTCCTTGTGCTTTTTTTGTGCTTTTTTTTGTGCTTTTTTTTGGTGTTTTTTTGTGTTTTTTTTTGTGTTTTTGTTTGCTTTTTTTTTGTGTTTTTTAATGTTTTTTTTGTGTTTTTTTGTGCTCTTTTTGTGTCTAGCTTGTGCTGGTTTTGGCGGTTGGTACTTACGCGTCAATGAAGTTTTGCGATTTAGGGTTCGAATGGGCTCGGGGTTTAGAATTTAAAGTTTAGGATGGATGCCAAGTATATAACATTTCCATTTTCCCACATGGCCAATCTGACTCCATGGTTGAGCACATTACGGTGCATTGTGCCAGTTGCATCAAGCGGCCAAATCCTTTCACAATATGTTCTAGTCACAGTCCTTGCTTCGATGCAGACGCCTTGCTCGCACCTTCTCAGGGTAACACATGAATGTATTGTCTGTAGTCTGCGCTCTTCTTTTCTCAATGTTGGAATGCAACTGATATGCTTGAAAGATCTTGAAAGTGAAGCCCCTGTCTTGAATTCTGAATTCTGTATCAGAGGTTTGGAGGGCAGGTTGACGTTTTTTTTTTGGGCACCTCCTAGCCGAGATTTTTGGAGCAATTTCCTTGTGCTCGTTTTGAAAGGGTAGGTTAAAGGAAAATCATTTATCTGCTGTTACTGGGCGGGGAGTAGATCAAATGTATATATATATATATATAGAGAATCTTGCATGGTCCTGGTTATTTTATGAACCTGCCATGTTCATATATGAGGCTATGTCTCTACGTCATCATGCAGGAGTTACCCAATGCGTTGAATCTGATGGCTCCTGATTGTGGCAGCTGGGGTATCCCTGCCAGGGGCACCACACGAAGAGCCTTCCATAACTATCTAGGATGTTCCTACCCGTTTGTGCTCAGCGGAAATTTGATGGTGGCAAGGTCCCTTGATCTGCAATATGTTATCCATTTAACTTGATTATGCAGTACGTATATATATGAACACCAAAATTTGTCGCCATTCTGAGGCTGATATTGTGCTGTTTGGTGGTCTTGGCACGACGTGCCATCTTCATCATTGAAAATCCCCATGGAAGTTTGATTTTTCGGCACCACAGATTTGAATACCTGACCAACTTGGTGGCATTTGAACCTCAGCTAAAATTGATTTGTAGCAGTGTCATTTTTGAACAAATATGGATGATGACCCGAAACATATCATTATTAGTGCACAATCTCCTAGTCCCAAGGTCTATCGTCAAGCTTTTTGGATGGGTCTCCTTGGAGGCCAAACACCAAAGAGGCTTTTGGCTTGGTCAAATGATAATTTGATCTCTGCTTTGGATCTCGGTAAGCTCTGCCGTGAGAAACGGGAATCCCTAACTGGGAAAAAAACAACCCGTTTCTTGGCTCCAATTCCCAACTGAACTCAAGATAAATAATGATCATGTTGTTCCAATTTCCAAACCACCACCCGACACAAGCCCTACATGTTGTCCCAGGTCGCTACGTGGATAGAAATGGCAGAACGAGATTTGTCGGGAACAAGGCTGCACTCAAGCAGTCACAGAATCTTGACATATATTAGGTCCATACCTCTTTGCACCCCATAAATATTTAATATATATATGTATATAACGATCTATATTTTCAGCCTATAGCTATAGAGTTCATGCGGCATCCCAGGGAATATCCAACGGGATTTGGAAAACGACTCCTTCAAGCCTACACCCGTTCTTGTGACCAGCCACCTCGCAAAGATCTTCGTCGAAAATTTGCCTTAGACATCAGAAAGACTGACCGAGAACTCTTCCAGGAATACCCATGCAATCCAGACCAATGGTTCGACGCAGAGCTCCCCAAAACTTTCTGGTATTTAGCAGGGAGTCGATCACTTCGTATTCCAGACAGTTGGGCAGAAGCGATTGGAGACTTCAAGAAAGAACTCCACCAAGCTTGTGTCCCTTATCTTTTAACATGGTGACCATATGACCATAGATCATCAGCGTGATACTATCTAGATATATGCACTTGACTCTGCCCGGGGCCCAGGTTAATCACCAGAACTTGGACCAAAGTGTGGAAGCTTGATGGGGCACCGGATGCAAATTCATAAAATTACCTTGAGATTGCAAATTGATGGGGGAAAATGACATTCAGAGCTGCTGATTTGACTCTGACACCAGAAAACGTGCAGAAATCAGAGTGCAAAACGACCGCAAATATCCGCAAAACGACCGCAAATAAACGCAAAACGGCCGCAAATCCAAAAAGTGTATCAAATGAAATTTTGCATTGGCAGGATTTTGGCTGACCAGTGTTGCTTTAAAGAGGTAAAGGTGTGCCATGTTGTCTCGCCAATGGAGCAGTAATACGTTGAAGGAAGGGATAGACCTCCTTGGGTCCCAGTGCACGGAGACCCCAACTGGTACTGCAAATATTGATGAGATGATTCGAGCAAATTGGATCAATTAGTGTTCACCTGTCAAGATGCCATATTGTAGTTTTGAGATGCTTTTCCACATGACATGCCATGTCTTTCCCCACCCGTGTGCAACTGAGGTGCAGGAGGAACGCATTCGTCGAATGCAAACGGAGCTCCAGTGCCACTACCGGCGACCTGAGGAATTGCGTGATGACACCATGGGGGATCCAGGCACAAGTTGCTCTAAAATATATAGAGAGAGATATATATATATATACAATATTTATATATAAATAATATATATTATATATATATAAATAATATATATATATATGATGGACATGTTTTTCAATTATAGAACCATAGGTTGATTTCTGAAAACTGCAGGTGCTACTCATTTTGCTGAAGCTGATGGTGAGTTCATGGCTGGGCGCAAAGCGCATAGTCTTGGTCATGGGCATCCCACATCCCCTGAAACACCACCGGTTCGTGTCCCTACTGGCAAGTCTGCCTCCATGGCAACCATGGCTGATAGCCCACATTCAGTTCATGAGGATCCGTATAATCAAGATGCCCAGTCGAAATTTGCCACTCCGTCCCCTGTATCAGAAAGTTTCGTTCCTGCAAAAAAGGGAAGGATCTCTGTGGAAGGGACTGATCGCAACCCCATCTTTGTCACCCGCTATGATGAGACCCCTGAATCTGCTCAGCATGACGTTGCCCATGGAAAGATGGTGGCCAAGAAGAAGGCCAATTCATGTGCTAAGTCCACAACTGATGAAGCTTCCATGGTTGACTCTGGCAACAAGTATGACAAGTACTATCACCAGTTTTTTGACTGCATGCATAATGTATGTAATTTAAATATTCGTGTGGTGCCCAGGGTTTATCACCATCAACCTCACCCCTGATTTCGAATCCTAAACCTTCTGAGGATGAGACGGTACGTCACACCACGAAAGGATGGCACGATGTTGGCCTCTCCTGATGCCATCAAGATGTGGCGGACAGAATCTGGCCGCCCCTTGGGATTGAACAGGTTTCCATGGTTTCCATGGGTTGTATTGAAATGGGTTACTAAGAGAGGGAGAGATAGAGATCTCTATATATATATATATGTATATATATATAAGGGTCACCAAAGTCAAATCCTTTCGGGCAAAGCGTAATTGCCAATTATTGTCACTTGAACTGTTGTAACCATATATATATTTATATGGGATTTCTTTTGGCCGGGAGTATGTTTTTTTTTGGCATCCACCAAGTTCATTTGATTAACCGGATTCATGCATATATAATTAATATACCCCATATTTATGTATTACTAGGGTTCCAACTGTGAATTTATAAAATCATCCCATACCTGTGGAAGTGGCTTTTCAATCGGATATGTCAACCAACCTTGGGCGCTATCAATCAGGGTGCCTTAACATCATGAGCCTGGGCCTAGGTGCTAAGTTGAGGGAAATGCTCATCCAGCACGGGAACTTTGGTGCCGTGGAATGTGAAATCGTTCGTTATCAAAAGACCTTGATGGACAACTCGAAGCAGGGTGGGTGGGTTACCAAGCACTACCTCACCAAAGAGAAACATTGGACTACGCTGAGCCCTGAGATGTATTATTATTTACTGCAATGTATTGGTTCAACATGTATACCATCAATTCAATTCAAACCCCAATCTTCAAGTTCCAATCGAGGTCCATGGTGAGTGCTGCTGTGGAATGGGCCAAGTCTAAAAACTTGTGGCGTGTCAACCCCATCCATAAGGAGGAGGAAATAAAGGTTGTTGTGGATGACTTTTTCCGGTTTTCGGAGCAAGAAGGGTTCGACACAACCCAGCGTGGCACTATGGAAATGGAGGACCCTTCACTGTTCCAATCTTGTTTCCTGCCCCACACCTGTCCTTCCGATCCAATCTTCTGAGCTTTCTGTCTTGCCAGGATCATGACGGTGCTCTCCTGGATGCCGGCGACATGATCCCAGAGAGAATGTCCAAGCTACTCCCGGAGGTGAAGGACGAGAAGGGTGAAGATGAGGCGCAGCCAGGTACTGGGGCCAGCTTCCGGTTTCCCAACAGCAATTAATCATCACATGATCATATACATGCAAGGGTTTGGATTTGCCTTATGTCTATCTTGCTTGGCTTTGGTGTACAATTAAGGTTGGTATTTCCAACTCTCCAAGAGAACTCTTCTCCGTTGAGTGTCATGACCCTGTTCTTGGAGACTTTGGGGAGAAAAATAGACCAAGCTGATGCAGAGAAGGCCGGGATGATAGAAAGCTGGAATGTCATGATATTTTTTATATATTCCTGATCAGCATGAATATATAGCTAAGGACCGACTCGTGCAGAAGAAGAACCCCAAAGCCGATCAGAAACATAGCTGATCAACATGCCTGGAATAGTTATACCCATATTCTCCAGTAAATCTCTTTCCCAATTATATAACATAATATATATATATGTATTCTTACTCCCATCTCGCCCAAGGATCCTCAAGACCTTGGACAACCTCTTGGCACTCATGAACAAGGGATATGAAGATCTCTCGCTGCTCCAGGGTGATGCTTTGACCGGGACGTGGTAATCTTAGCCACTAAAGTTTGGAACACATGACGGCTTACCTATGGAGGGTTTTCGCAATCATGAATGTGTGTAACTTAGGATTGACGTTCCCACCATCAAGGCAAAAATGAACGAGATAACCAGAGCTGATGTGGCGATGAACAATGTACTGGTCCGTGGCAGGCGTGACGTAATAAACAATATATTCTATACCTATATATATATATGCAGGGTGTTACATACTCATGGGCACCACTCTCCTTTGGATTCCAACTCACCCACTCCCTTGGCTCGGCAGGAACATCAAGGCGGTCGTGCCTGCGAAAGCATCGCCAAAGGCATCGCCGAAGCGTGCTTCTGTGCCTAAGGCCAAGGCGAAGGCGAAGGTGAGATCTGCAAAGCGTACCAGGGTCAAGAAGACTGGCAAGGCAAAGCCCGCCAAGGAAGAGGATGATGAGTAAATTACTTTTGACTTTGAAATTTCAATAGAAATTCGTGAAAGGATCGATTTGGATCCTGGGTTTGGACAGCACATGTGTCTTTAGACGCAAGATTGCTGTGACAACTTTCGCAACAGTGCCGGGGAATGATCGTTGAACATGTGAGCCTGGGCTGACTGCATCACAAGCTATCTTATATATATATATATATAGATACATGTAGGTGGGCTACTGTCTGAGTCATGCTCCCCTCGCAGGTGCCTTGCCACCATTGCCGCTGCAGCCCAAAGATGAAGGCACCTCGGAAGGTGCTTCGGAGTTGGCCGTTGGTGGCTCCACCAGCTAGGAGTTATAAATATATATATATATCTCTCTCTCTCTCTCTCATATGGATTCCAAAAAAAATACTTAAACCATTCTCAATGTCACTTCCATGACCTGGCACCATACAAACAACGCGACATGTTGAAACTCGATCCAGGTGATAAAGATGATGATAGAAGCTCCCCCGGAACACCTTCGGATCTTGCAGATGAACTTCTGAGATCCTTTGAGGTTGGTGTTTCTTGGTGTACATTTCAATGGGGCATATCTCCCTTATTTTGCCAATTATATATGTGTTACTAAATAAATACTAAATACGTATCATCAAGATGCATATAGCACATACCTCTATAATATATATATATGCAATTAATATGCATGATGCATATATTAAATATTATTCTCCTATATGCCGGCCCCAAGGCTGACAGCGCACATCGTGTTGTACGTCTGGCCCGAGTTGCTTCCAACAGGATGCGAAAGTTGGGACCCTTGTCCATACATGATTGGCCAGGCACCAGCTAGTGCCAACTACTAGTTACCATTTCCCCCAATGTAACCCCAAAAATATATGGGTACCATTATTTTTTATATTTTATGTATTTTGGGATCTTAGGTGTCAAAGACCCAGTTCTGGAAGATATTGGACGTTCAGGGAGAACATCCTCGAAATCCTACAGAAATATATCTCGCAACTTTCACCGGAGGTTGTCCAAAAGTGGGAAGGTCTTACCTGTGAAGGTGTCCATGGAACGTGTCTGGGTACGGCAGCAACGGCCACGTGTTAGACAGATACAGCTGGCTTATCCTATGATTGCTCTTCGGGACTGGGGTGAGCTATTGCTGAATTCTCACCCAAACCTGATGCTTGGTGGGTTCTCTTTGAAGCAAGTGTCTGAATACACGGAGATGTTCACCAGATTTTGGACCAGGTATCAACACTTGGACCCGTCCCATCCAATCTATGCGACCCACCCTGAAAGTGTACGGGGCCGGTGCATACCATTCCTTGTTCATGGAGATGAAGGGCGAGGGAAGGGCAAGGTACCCATCTTGATTCAATCCTTTCAGATGTTGATTGGGCCCAAAGGAGAGCAAACCACCAACATCTCTGGGTGGCTCTAAATCTTATTGGCAACCTTTTGATTCCATAGTACCCAAAACCCAAAATAGAGGTTGTTTTTCTTCCACCCACTCAGTTCGTCCCCTCGCTCATCCCAGGCACTCGATGTGTTCAAGGCTCTTGTCAGCGATGATGCCTGCAAACATGTACGCAGGGAAAGGAGGTGAGAAAACATGGGAATCCCTGGCCAATTTTCTGCTGAAGGATTTGACGCATTGCTTTCACAATGGTGTTGAAGAACCCCATCTTAACATCATTGAGTTTTATTGTCATAAACCAAAATTAATAAATATGGTTCACATGACTTACCTTTTCCTGAGGGCTAGTTGTAAATCCAATCAGGTACGTGGTGAGCGGTTTTACTTCATCTACTTGGGGTTGAAGGGAGACTGGCCATACCTTCGCAAAGCGATGGGTTTGGCTACTGGGCCAACCAGCACAAGGAAATGTCACTACTGCAACAAACCTGACTCATGGTTTCAAAATTCATCATTTTTGGAAGTTTATATATAAAACTAATTATATGGATAACCTGTGATATACCTATCTTTCCATGGGCTTGGGTGATGTGGGTTGACTGCCCGTGAACCCAGGCCTGGTGGCACCTCGGGCGCAATGGCTCCGTAGCAGCCTGGGGGCATGCTGGGCGACCACAGTCCGCACCATGGAAAAAAAAACCAGCCAAACCTTCCCTCCTCCGCAAAATTCCAGGTGGGGAAGATCCTTTCCGCATTCGTTGTGATCTTGCTCATATTTGGGCAATTGGTGTTGGAAAAGAATTTGTGGGGAGTGCACTGATCCTCCTAGCCGGTGAGTTACAGGTTTGGCCAGGGAGAAGCATTGGGACCAGATTAGAAGTAGGATACAGCCAGTTTCGCAGTTGGTGCCACGACAACAAGCAGACCTGCAAAATCAACGAATTCAGACTGAGAACGTTCAAGATCAACTCGCTTCCCAAGATTTGCATAGATCAAATTTTATATCCTTCCCCATATATGGTATCCATATGTATATAATATCTGTGTGTGTTTGGCCTACATGCATATGTACTTCCTCATCCACTCGCACCGGCCCAGGCTGAAGCAGTTTCCTGGCCTTCAAGGACAGGGTCATGACTGCATTGTCGTCAACAAGTGGTTGTCCCACCTTTGCGATGAGATTGACCGGGAAAATTTGGAGCCGGGGCAGTATATATAATTAAATTTTAATAACCCAATGAAATGGTAAAGGGGTCCCATAGCATATTTTGTTTTGGAATCCAATTCATCCTACTAAGGATGAAGAAGACCATCAGCTTTTTGATGCCCTGAAATTTGCAGCGGATTGTGGAAACCATTGGTTTCGGGAGCTCTATCGTTTTGGTGTCTGGATTCCTGGGGCCGAAGGTGAACAACTATCTCATGCAGCCTATGGACTGACAGAAACTTAACAAATATGCAATTTACTTTTGGGATGGGGGTCCCTATTCCGTGTCACCTTGAACTTGAATTTGCGGGGTTACCAATAACTGCCCAGGAAGGCTACCAAGCCTTAGCGAGACTATGTGCTATGCGGCGCCTCCACCTCTTCCGGGTGAAACCCAAACTCCATATGCATGACCACGTGTCGAGACTGGGATCCAATACATTCCAATTTTAAGGTTTTATCCCCACAAATATGCAATGGATATTTTGATGTTTTTAAACTTTGTACCAACAGCAGCCTAGGGAAGAAATTGAGCATTTTGGAGTCCAAGAAGGTGCCGAGTTCCTTCTTAACCCCTTGAGTTACTCTGGATCAATCAACCAGTCGGTATCAGTTTTTGGATTTAATTATGTTTACTTGGGCCATGCTTTGCGCTGGTATATATTTCTTGGCCAATTGCAAATGCTATCTTAGGTTTTGCCTGCTGGCAGGATGAGGATTAATTATGTTGGAAAGTGTTCTCGTGTGAGCCGAAGGACACATGCTTTCACTACTTGCTTAAGATCCTTCACTAGGATCCTCATGCAGTACAAAAGGTTGTTCAATGCCTAGCCGTGTGCCCTGGCAACACCCTCACCGCAGATCAAGGTGGAAAATGCAACTGAGCGCCCAGCTGAGGGTGAGCAGTCAAAGTTGAAGTGCACAGTGTTGAGTGCATGTGCAGGGGATGGCAGGTTCTGGGTGTGGGATTGGCTTCCTTAGTGGTTCTTAGAATGCACCTCGAGCATATTTTTGGGGATCGAGCATAAATCCAACATTTGATCATATTTTACATGAAACGTACCTGAAATTTCTCGTACCCTAAATTTAAGTTACAAATGAAGCTCCTGGAAGGATCAATAAGGAGGGTACAACATGGGGAATCGTGAGATATATATATATATAACAAACCACATGTATCCATACCGTAGATGGACGAATTATTCAAACCCTTGTAATCCAATAACCCCCCGCACCCCCAATTACAATGTTGTTTTTTTTGTCTGGTTCGCTCCTTTGAATGGACGAAATAAATCAAACCCCAAGATCAGGAACAAAGATACGAAACCATAACGTTGAAATTTGGGGGGACAGGGGGTAGCCTACAACTCATGGATGCGGGGTTTGAATAATTTGTCCATCTACTGTATGTCATATTTTGGGTTGATCCAAAAATGGGATTTAAATCTTATGGCTATTTGAATCGGGAAAAAGATGATCAATCATTGGATCTTTGGGGTGTACGTATACAGTACATAATATATATATATATACATCATGCTGCCCTTGTGTGGGTTTTTGACCAAACATCCTTTCAACCCTACTCCATTGGAATAGTTTGTCTCTTCTTGTGTGCTAAACATGGCCCACGGACAAGAACTGGAACTGCCAACGCACGTCCGTGCGGATGTTCAACACAGGAACCCCCAACAAAAATCACACAGATTCCCTATTAATTCCCCAGTCGTAGTGGATGTTCCATGGGGAAGTAACAAATCATCGACACAGCAAATCCAAATATACGTACAGTAGTGTTCACAAGTTGGCTACATGTATCAATATGTACTGGACAGTACATCTTTGATTTGGTGAACAGCGAAGGCACAGTGCGCTTGTGGGAACATATCGTAAACGCCTCTGAGAACACACGACACCATTCCAGGCATCGTCGTGTCCTATCGCACCATAACATCTACCAAATCATGATTAAAAGCTAGAACTCTAGGTGTTTTTAAATCTATGTTGATTTCTAGGTGATTTAAACCAACCAAACCCTAGAAATGATCCCATCTTTACCGTGGAATCAACAAAGGTCAGTTCCCGCTGGTTTCAACGGCCTTTTTTAAGTCTCAGGAGTTCAGCAACCTGGAGATCAGTAGTGAAACCACCAGATCAAGTAGCTGTTGGGAAAATCTACTGTTAATAATGGTCAATATGATTATATGATGGTTAATATGATGGTTAATATGATGGTTAATGATGGTTAATAACAATCTGGTTGGTGGCTGAGCCACCCCTCTGAAAAATGATGGAGTTCGTCACTTGGGAAGGATGACATCTCAAATATGACATGGAAAAATAAAATTCGTGTTCCAAAACACCCAGTATGTTATGTCATGTTAAATGCGTTGATCAAATCGTTTCCCTACATATAACATGGTATAACACTGAACGATACTGAACGTTGATCATCTATAGACAAACCCCGACATAAAGTCATGATAACTAGTTCCAGATGGGACATATTCGCCACCAAATGTGGGAAACTATGAACATATTGAAAACGTACAAAACACACCAGCTTGGCTCAGCAAAGGTTTACTGCATCAAGAACTGAAGGTGCGACAACGGTTCCCCTCGGGGAACATTCACAATGATGGACATGGATATATAAATCTATATCTAACATCTATATCTATATCAATATTATATATATTCATTGGTATTGACGGATATTATTGGATATCAGTTGATATCAAAGATAATTATCAACATGTAGACTGATGGTGTAATCTTTCAACACACACCTTTTGCCTGTCGTCACGGGTTCGTCCCCTGTTTTCAGCAACATCAAATCATACCCTGTGGGGCGCCAAAGACACAGGCAGATGAAAAGCCTCTGGATTGGTTGCAGGGATGATTTACAGGAAAACCCCATTCAGTTCATAGGGAAAATCCATGATTTCCTGTAGATATCTGTAGATGTTCCCTTAAACCAATCCATTCAAAAAGGGATAAACAAGCCAAACAGTATTGACACCACCAGTTACCGCCAGCTTCGAACGTTCCCGTCCGACCTCAAAGCCTTGGAGACGGTCCCTTTTTGGAGGAACAACACACGTGAACGAAACCATCCAATCACACGTGGGTTTTCACCACATTTCATCCCAAAATCTGGATCATAGCCAACATATATAGTAAATAAATCTACAGCAACTGACATCCAATTGAGCAGTTTCTGAAGATGAGCAAGTAGCAGTCCCGGATTGATGGTGACATTCCCCAATTTTCATATTGTTTTGATTTGGGAAAAGCATACAATAGCCTCTGGTAATTTAAAAGTTTGCTATTAAACATGGCACATTTAGTATTATTTAGTTCGTTGATTTACCATTATTTGCCTATATAGAAGACGGTGATTTTCCAGTTCGCGAAGTGTTAGTTTACCTGAGGGTACCCACCTGCGCTCGGCCAACTCGTCGATGCCACGCTCCTGGATTGCACACGGGGAAATCTCCATAGGAAATCACCTGCATTGCATAGGAAACCATACAAGGTGGTGCCCATAGATCCCCATAGTTAGCTAAGTTGGTTTATAAAACCCAATAACTATCCATAACTATGGTTTATGGCAGATATAACTATAGTTAATGGGGTTTATGAACCAATTGTAACTGGGGGGCACCATCCTGTAGGGAAACTATAAGCAAAGCATAGGGAAACCATAGGCAAGCCATGTGGAACATGCAATGAAACCCCGAGAGGTCTGAGAGGACCCATGGAAATCCCGCCATCCCAAAAGCCTTCAGAAGCAGCATCAAGAGCCTGCCGCTCCTGGCTCAGAAGAAATATGACAATCGTGTTTCAATGAAATCATTTTTAAGTTCCCCGGGTTTGTTGTTGTTGTTGTTGTTGTGGTTGTTGGTTGTTGTTTGTTGTTTGTTGTTTGTTGGTTGTTGGGTGATGTGTGTTGTTTGTGTTTACTGTTGTCGTTGTCGTTATCGTTGTCGTTGTTTTTTTTTTTGTTGTTGTTGTCGTCGTCGTCGTCGTCGTCGTTTGCAAGATTTTGAGTCTGTGCTGATTCGTGAAAACTTTTTCACTTGGCAACTGAGGCCTTTCATTAAATGTGCGCCTGACGTCGTTGGCACTTTAGCGCACAGGGTATGCCTGTGAGTATACGCAATGCTTAACAATGGCGGCAATAGGTTCAACCCCGTACCAATATCGGGGTTTCCCTAGATGGGGATACCCAAAATGGTTGGTTTATAACGGAATATCCTATTTAAAATCATTGAAATGAATGATTTGGATTGATTTGGTTGTATTACTGTAATATCCCCATTTCAGGAAACCTCCTTCAATAGAATCTTTCCCAAGACCTGTTGACCCAAAACATGCAGCCTGCCACGGGCACCATCCCGTTGCAGTCAGGGCATCACTCCCCAAAATCCCAAGTGGTTTCTGTAAGTGGTAAACCCCATGCCATAAAGCACGACCCAAATCACCATAAATAGATATAAGTAGGTGGTATGGTTACCATTCCCAGTGATGGGTGATGATATATATGGCACCTCCAAAAGATCTGCGGCGGAAATCAATGCATTCAGCTCCTCGTTTTCCCATGAGGGGATGGAATGACCACTTTGGGAAGATGAAATATGTTGACACACACACAAATAATCAATGAATGTTGGGATGAATCAACCCAACAGAATGGGAAAAGGATCATGACAATGGCGATGATGATGATGATGATGATGATGATGATGATGATGATGATGATGATGATTCTGATGCTGATGATAAATTTAGTTGTTATGCATCATTCTTATCATGATTACAATGATATGTTTTATAGATATATGAATCTGTTATGACTAATTACAATGCTTTCTGAACAGTATGATTTGTGATCATTATGATTCTGGTTTCAAATGTTTGACATCTATTGTCTGTTGATCGAACGTTTGTTATGTTCTTTGTTGTTTATTTACATGGCTATTATGATTATGAATATCATTCATTTTAATTCATTTTAGTTATAATAATGGTAGGAATGTGGTCAGCTCCAAAAAATGTGACCCTGGTGCATGCGGTGCACGTCGTTCCTGCGAGGAAGGTGCATGTAAATAACCTTGCAAACGGGACAGTACCTGCGCCATTCGCAGTGAAAAGCAGACTGGGAAAGGGAGCCCCAGATCGAACATGTCCTTAAACATGCTAGAGATATGTTGGTGTTCAAGATTAGTGTTGGGGATACGTTAGAGATATGTTTGAGATATAGCAGCTATAGCACTCTCGACCCATTTCACATCATGTCATGTCAGCATTCCATGGGGTTTCTATCTATCCAGCAGGCTATCATAGGGGGTTTACTTTCTGAGTTGATGAGGATGGCCAAGACATGCAAGCAGCGACTGTTTGACAAAGCTGGGGATCATATACACATAAAGAACATTGGCTCCGCGCCGCAA